GACAGACAGACAGACAGACAGACAGACAGCCAGATGGACAGACAGACAGATGGACAGACAGACAGATGGACAGGTAGAGGGAGCATCTGTAAATGTATATTTGACTCAAATAAAACTGAAGCTGAAGAGAAATAATCAATAATTATCTCCTGATGAACTCATCATGAAGTTTAGTTATTGCTCACCTGAGGACACCTGAAGACACCTGAAGACACCTGAAGAAGAAAACGAGGGTGTCTGATGATCATTTGGTTCTGATTTATTGAATAAATCATGTTTATCTGTTTATTTATTTGTCATTGATTATTTTTGTTCTGACTGCAGGAAACAGGAGACGTGGCCATAAGTTTGTGGACAGCTGAACACAGCTGAACTGTCACATTAATCATGTTGATACGACTCTGCTGTGTGAGTGCAGTGACCTGTAAATTCATTCTGACCTTTACTCAGTAGAATCTGGTCCAGGCTGCTTTCACTCTGTTACCTGTTCACCTGTTTCCCTGGTCACCTGTGGAAGGTCACACAGGTGTTTCTCAGTCTGTCTCAACTTTATCACAGCCTGCTGCTGACTGAACAATAAAGTTGATCAGTTTGAACATTAAATATCTCTGGACTGGAGTCAGTTGAATAAAGGTCAAAAATAATTTATGCATCACTGCATCCTGTTGTCACAGCCTCCATCACACAGCGTCCATACGTCTCTGTGATGGAGGCTGTAAAGGTGAAACAGTTTTAGTTTAATGAATGTTTCAGTGAAATGTTTGATGCTATCAGACGGAGTCGGAGTGAAGCCGTCACACAGACGTGCTGCAGAACAACTGGAAACAGTCAGGTAAAGTACAGGTACCTGAGTGAATGTTGTCTGCAGCTCTGCAAACTAACAACACACAGCTGAACTCTGTAAGTGATGAAGCTGATTTAAAGTTCAGGTTTATTTTAGCAGACGTCTGCAGCTGTGTCAAAGTTTGGTTTGCCTGTTGATCTGAGCATAGGCAGAGCTGAGGCTGAGATGCAGCGTGTTGACGTGTCACTGAGTATCTGAATAATCCACAGTGTTTCCCTCACACAGATGTTTCTGTGCAGATGTTACACATCATCACTGTGTCCACTCGTCTCCACAGCACGTCTCAATAAAGTTAGTGTGATTCAGCCCTGCCTGCTGCAGAGACACAGCGTCCTCGTATAACATGTTAATCATTACAAACTCTTTGGTCCAACTTTCTGTCTGCAGCTGCACACAAACACACAGCATGTCTTCATCCCCGTTACAAACAGCAAAGTCTCCCATCATGCATCTCTTCAGCTGCAGACACACGAGAAGACGAGAAGTTTATTAACTCAGATTTAAAGACAGAGACAAACAGCTGGGACTGACCTGAGAGACGACCAGAGGACTACTGACACGCTCTGCTGCAGGACTCTGATGTTTGTTCAGTCATTCCTGTGGGCGTCTCTGGCAGCAGCTCTGTGTGTGTGTGTGTGTGTGTGTGTGTGTGTACGTATGGTAGCTCTTAAGTGACAAATAAAAACTTTATTTATAACGACAAAAGCTCCTCTGTGTCAGATTATAATCTGATGCTTGTGTTCTGGTTCCCTCAGAATGAGATGTTTATATCTCCACAGGGAGCAGGTCCTCGTCTACAGAGATCACCATGTTGCACCGCCATGTTTCTACAGTAGCCCAGAATGGACAAACCAAACACTGACTCTAGATAGAGACATTCATGTGTTCATAATCAGCAGCTCCTCCACAATGAGCAGCGTCAGAGAAACACTGAGCTGAATGTGAAACAGTTTTATTTCTGTTGAAGCAGTTTAACTTAGGATCTGAATGGGAGAACCAGGGGGAGGGAACATGGAGGAGGGAACCAGGAGGAGGGAACAGGGAGGAGGGAACCAGGAGGAGGGAACAGGGATGAGGGAACCAGGGGGGAGGGAACCAGGAGGAGGGAACCAGGAGGAGGGAACCAGGGGGAGGGAACCAGGAGG